GAGGACACAATTAACCAGATAAGGCAGGAGTGGACCGCTTATCTTCTACAAAGATGGAGTTAGGAATAGTTATATTTCTTCTTGATTGAACATTGTTTGGTTTTAGTTTTATTTTTATGTTAATAGTTTGGTAGTGGATTGAACATTAAGTAGAAATTTGTTTATATAAAACGCATATTTATGTTATTGGAGAATTGTTCTGGGACATTTTTCTGTTTTTCAGGTGTGGTTCTATTGAAAAAACAAACAAATTTTTAAAAAAAAAACGCCCACTAGACGTCCGTTAGTGTACAGTCGGACGTCTATAGACGTCCGTCTGTGCACATACGGACGTCCCACCCCAGCCCTACACCAAAAGAACTCAGCAAGGTAGACGTCCGTCCTCAGACAGCAGCGGACGTTTATATGGACGTCCGTCCTCAGACAGCGGACGTTTATTATAAACGTCCGTGGTTAGGCAGCGGACGTTTATTATAAACGTCCGTCCTGAGGCAGCGGACGTTTATAATAAACGTCCGTCCTCAGGAACGGACGTTCATATAAACGTCCGTCCTGATGCAGCAGACGTTTATATAAACGTCCGTCCTCAGGCAGAGCGGGACGTTCATATAGACGTCCGTCCTCAGGCAGCGGACGTTCATATAGACGTCCGTCCTGGCACGACGGACGTCTGAGGGACGTCTACCGCATAGACGTTCGGCGTACGCCGGACGTCAAAAGGCCAAAATATCGGACGTAAAAAGCCGTTTCTGCACTAGTGTGCATGCCGTAGTCTGCATAAAATTTCTTGGCTTATTGCATCGTGTCAAAACACATGTGTAAAGTTGGAACCAAGTTCAAACAACTATGATCCACGATTTCTAATTCTTGAATACTTTCATCGTCGACATTGACCAAGTCTAAACAATTCGCCATGACAATGTTGTATTGCCTGTTCGTAGTTAACTGTAAATAAATCAACATACATTTTATTCTAAACTAATAACGAGGAAAATAATTAATCTGTAAGACACAATGCTAATATTATTCAATGTAAAAGATATTGATCAAGTGGCTAAGAAGGATAAACAACATCCAGTAAGTGTTTTCCATAAAAAAATTAAACAATAAAGGTTTAATAGGGCTACGTACAAGTGAAGAGCTTCGTTGAAATCACTCCCTCTTTCAATGAAGTTGTTGTGCTTCCCACCAACCTCGAACCCCTGCCTTTATTGTCTTCTTTAAAGATGCAGCAAATCCTCAAAAAGTTTAGACGTCTTGGAAGATGAAGCCAATGGAACTCCCAACCACCCAATTCATTTGCTTATTAAGCTTGTAGCAATAAATGCAATGACAAAAAGTACTTGTTACTTTCGAGAAGGTTGAGTGTAATAGTAACTTCTAAATCCCCACATTAAATGCAACTTTCATGAATGAAGGAAAAAGTGTTACAAGTTTACGGGGAAGTGTGACAAAGCTTTTGTCAAAGTCATCATTTAATCCAATTCATTAATTGTTCCGTATACTTTAGAAGTTAAATAATAATAGATTAATTTACAACACATTGATTACTTGCCTTACGTGTTGTGACAAATTTATGAACACCGAAAAACGACGCCAAAAACTTGTTTTACCCTCGGCAAGTGTGACCGAATGTAGCAAGTAATAATCTTAGTATGACCAAGTATCGTTTCCCAAGAGACTCAATGCCTAGACACTTATGTGATTATTTAATTAATTAAGACTTGAGAACAAAATGTTATAGGTTTTTAATGCAAAAGACTGAAAATTAAATATGTATGCATATGATGATCAATGGCAAGGATAAACAAAAGCGTGAGTTGAATTATATGGATGAATATGTTGTTGGGGTTTATCAAGTTAATCTTTTCCACTCTCTTGTATTTAGGAATTCATCAATCTTTTCATTAATGTTAATCCCACTTTCTAAATTACTTTAAACCCGATCTCTCAGCGAAGAAAGCCTAATCATAATCACTAGTTTACAATCTCTTGTCTCCCTAGCAATTAATCATGCATTATAGTGAACAGAAGCTTAAAGGCAGCCAACTATCATACTCCTATGTCTAGGTTGGCAATATACTGTTGGGAGAGATTCCCCAGATCTAGACTTCCCCGTACGTCTCCGTATCGACAAAATCAATTATCATGACATCTAATGAGTTAAACTATGCATGCTTTGAGCAAAGATGAAAAACCCTAACTATTAATGAAAGAAAGCATGTTTCATATATATGATCTTGAAGAACATTTTCTATACAATAGAGTTTCTAATGATTTATTTTGATTCTCCAACTATAATATAAGTTTAGTTCACCATATTCATGGTGAAACTAGATGAAATACAATGGAAGAATGACAGATAAAACCCGAGAAAGCTGAGAAAGGAGCCTGAGCATCCAAAATCCTCCTCCAAGGGGTGACAAGAAAGTGATTGTGCTTCATCCTAGCCAAAGATACAAACCCTAGGACGTCCTAAAGCTTATATATTATTCTAAAAAATACAAAAAAGTAAGCCCAAGCCCAAAATAATGCCGCTCAGGGGGAAAATGCCCCTCAGCGGTACCAGTGCATAACGATTCTTCCCCTCAGCTGCGTTGTTGCCCCTCAGCGGTACTAACGTGTATTCAGAAATGCCGCTCAATGGTAAAATGGCGCTGAGCGGTACTTGCGGCTTCAATTCTTTTGCACTGTTTGTGTCCTTTTCTGATTCCATCTCTATCCCTTTTCACTTCTTTCATCAATTTCATATAAAAACCTACAAAAACAAGAGAATCAAGCATAAAACCTGTCCAACTCTATTATTTCCATTAATTCAACAAAATCATGATTTCAAGCTAATTTCTAAGGCATAAAGGTTGTAATTGAAGTCAATTTTAAGTATAAAAATAACAGTTTTTCAACTGTTATCATGTTGGCACATGAAGTGAATTTGATTTAATATAAATTATAACAAAATGAATAACGCATCCCAGACCAAAAATTAAATTAAATAATTTTACCTCCTTATATATGGCCACACAAAGCAGTTCAGAAACTCATTCTCACTCTCACTTTGATTGCAAACTAATTGTTTAATTCATTGTTCCTTGACATACACATAATATGGATGCTTGGGAAGGACTATTAGGGAGGAAGACGTGCTTGAATCATTTATGAAGAAATGTGATGCCACAACATCATTGGTTCCTTGTCCTGCTGGGAATGTTCAAGTAGCATTGATGAATAGGATAAGTGATGACCAACTTACCACCCAACAATTTGCTGAAGAACTAGCTCAAGCAACGTATGACAGAGATTTCAACTCCAATCCATGGATGTGGGCTGAGATGTTCGTACAACACCATGGTCTGTAATTCGAAAAACTTATAAATTTTCTATCATACATTTTAATTAACTAAATGATGAAATGCAGAACTCGTGCCGGAAGGAGATATGATAAAACTTAATCAGCTAGATTCAGCAAAATTTGTGGCAAGACTGCCACTTGTTGCTTGTCTTGTGAAAGAGTGTAAGCCCAATGGTCTGGGAGACATGCAACTTACTATTAAGGTAATGATTTGTAAGGTTCATGTTATGGAAAACACAATACTTCACTCCATTTAGTCAACTAATGAGACATATTATATGACCAGGACCCTAGTGGTACCATGAAGGCCTCCTTAAATAGGAAAGTTCTTCAAGATCCACAAATTGGGCCACATATCGGAGTTGGCTGTGTTTTGTTACTGAACCTTGTAACCCATCTTACATAAAGTATCATTTTGTACACATAATTTAATTGATTTCTTATGCATAATATTTATTTATGCTATATTCAGGTTCCTGTATTCGGTACATTTGGAACAACACATTACCTAAACATTGTCGTTCGCAATGTAGTTAAGGTCTTCGCAGCTGACGTTTACCCTCTTACAAAGCAACTGCTGGAGGAAACATCCAAACCTGACATTCGTCAAGCTACGACGGAAGAAGAAACGACGGCTGAAATCATGCGAGAGTTAGTTCATCCAGCTCATAGAGCATCTACTTCCACAACACCTCAAATCAATTAATTATTCACTCATTAAGTACGACGACTATTTTAACATGCCAATTGCCTTCATAGGTTTATCTTTTAGTTAACTAATTACAACTATCCGTTGAACTTATTTTATGGATGAATGTAATATGGACTGCGATGACTTTGTGCTCAGTTATTATCAATGTTTGTTTCAATCAAATTTTGTTGTCATCTTTGTCAATGAAGTTCAACTTTTAAAAGTTATTAACCTATTTAAGTTGACCCAACTAAAAATAAACCTCCAAAACAACATTGGGGAGCGCTTCAGCCACGGTAGGGGAGTGCACTTCATTTCTTCGTACAAATTGTTCTTTTTCCACTAGTAATCAATTACCCCATGTAGGTAATCGATTACAATTACCAACGACAGCAACAGGTCAGCAAGCAACCCTTCCCCCACCTCCCCAATCACCCACTTGCACACCTAACTCCTGCTCAGACCTTAGCCTTGGTGTCAAGTCCAACCACAAACCAAGTTTCAATCAAACACGAGCCTAGCTCACCTCCAAAACAACATTGGGGAGCGCTTCAGCCACGGCAAGGGAGTGCACTTCATTGTTTCGTACAAATGGTTGTTTTTCCACTGGTAATCTATTACCCCATCTAGGTAATCGATTACAATTGCCAACGGCAGCAACAGGTCAGCAAGCAACCCTTCCCCCACCTCCCCATTCACCCACTTGCACACCTAACTCCTACGCAAACCTGAGCCTTGGTGTCAAGTCCAACCACCAACCAAGTTTCAATCATACACGAGCCCGGCTCACCTCCAAAGCAGCATTAGGGAGCGCTTCAACCACGGCAGGGGAGTGCACTTCATTTTTTCGTACAAATGGCTGTTTTCCCACTGGTAATTGATTACCCCATATAGGTAATCGATTACAATTGCCAACGGCAGCAAGAAGTCAGCAAGCAACCCTTCCCCCAGCTCCCTAGTCACCCACTTGCACACCTAACTCCTGCTCAGACTTGAGCCTTGGTGTCAAGTCCAACCACCAACCAAGTTTCAATCAAACACGAGCCCATCTCACCTCCAAAACACAAAACTACAATCCTTTTTACTACTCCAGTCAACCTTTTCTCAAAATACATGAAAATTGTTGATGCAAAAAATACCACCTACAAAATAAAACAATAAATTTTACCACTTACATAAACAACCTTCTATATTCATGATGAACATAAAGTATTGATTAAAATGATGTAAGTTCATAATTACCAAGTTGTCTACATATTGTCTTGGCCCTAATGACTCACATTCATGTGTGCTCAATGGTTGACCAATTATTTCAGCCACAAAGCTCTAAGAACAACAATATCAAAACACATGGCAACAAGATTGTTTAGAAAAAATAAATCATTATTCGATTACCTCCGTTCAATCCCTTTTGCGGAAACTGAGTGGTATAATTTATCCAAATCAACCTGGGTTCTAGGATCACCAACATAAGTACGCAAAGGCGGTATGGACACCATTTGAACATTAACATCTCCTTCATCATCATCAACAATGTCAATAACACCTATTGCATGGTCATGGGCTACACCTAAAGGTTCTTTATCCGATTCACTAACAGGTTCACAATCCACTGCACTAAGAAGTTCAGAATCCGCTTCACCTAAAGGTTCTTCGCCTACACGTCCATCCGCTTCACCAGCCACTTCTGCATCTTTTCCAACTCCAGGTTCTTCGTGTATGGCACCTACAGGGTCTTCATATTTTGTACTACCAGGTTCCTCATATACTTCACCTGCAGCCTCTTCATAGCTTGTACGTTCCTCATCCACTTCACCTAAAGGTTGTTCTTTGCATGCATGTTCCTCATGTACTTCACCAAAAGGTTGATCGTACACTGCAGGTTTTTCATGTTCCTCGCTCCCCTCAACATCACCATTTCCTTCAAAACCTAAATGACCTTTTTCTACCTTTCTACACTTTCGGAGTTGACGAAGTTCATTCCTAACACCCGCAATTTTTTGTCTTAGACTTCTTATCTTCAGGTTGTTTCTTCTAATTCTTTGCTTAGCTTCTGATTCCCAGCTTTGTTCACCTTCGTTCTCATCACACTTTGCTGTAGGCTTGCAACATTCAGGCCTTGCTCCATCATCCATATGGAAAGCACCATGTATGAGGGGGTCCAGAAGATCATGCTTACTAAGGTACCAATCGAATTCTACCTATAACAATAAAAAATAATAACCTCACTAAAATAACATCAACAATAATAAAACAAATAAAAGACAAAGATGTTAAAACCTTACATCGCTTGTCCTAAACAAAGCATCTATTTTATTCGTGCTTAAATGAAAGGATCGAAATTGCCTCACACGCGGGAATATCTTATGAGATGAATGCCGATGCAAACAAAGCCGTTCAAATGCCCACAACTACAATGTCACAAATACAACTTCAGCAATAAATTATGACAATCACTTAAACAAATTCAACTAACTCAAACAATACATAATATTACCTGTAACACAATAGCATTGCCACTAATACTCAAGGAGTCAGCAATCGCTCCAACCAGTATTTTCTTAGTACATCTATTTAGACTATGTACAAGATATTTATGTACATCACTACCCCAATCATATTCAGACAACCTATCTAAATCATCTAATACTAAACAAGGCAGGTTAGAAACAAACCTTGACTTCCTAGGAAAATAAAATACCATCAAACATACTAAAATATACAAACGACAAATCACATCTACCTCAATACCATCATTCAGTACCATCCCATCAAACATATTCATCAGGTCTTTCAATCTGGTTGTTTTTGGATTGAACATCTCACCTACTTTACCCACTACTGAATCATCGCACGGAACCTCAAAACCGCCTATTCCTATACCTAAAGTCATCACAAGATCAACCGTAGTGAATGGCAGTAGATGTTGACTAACTCTAAATGATTGATGGTGCCCAACCCATCTACAAACCATCGCCTTTATCAATTTTAAACTGACCTCTAGAGGTTTAAGAATGTCTAAACACCACCTAAATGGAGTATTTGCAATGCGCGTTTGATGTCTGCTTCGTAGTAAAGAATTCATATGGACAATGTACGATGTATCCATCCATGCTCGCATGTGCCACTATAAAACACTCCAAATTTCAAATATAACAATCATTGTTCCAAAACAACAACCACAAAACAAATACACAAACTATACTTACATTGGTATTAAATGTGCGCAAAACAAATCTCCAGCTCGCCTTAGTGTTCGAAAAACAAACCTCCACCTCGTTGGTGTGTGCGGAATACCAACTTGCACCTCGCCGGAGAGTACGAAATACCAAAAGGTTCCCACTAAGATGATTTGGGGGAGATGATTTGGAGAAGATGATTTGAATGGATTTGAGTGGATTTGAGGGTAATTTTTTTGTTGTTTTTTTGAGTGGATTTGTGGATAATTGAGAGTGGATTTGGAAGTAAAGTTTGTGAAAATAAGTGTAGGATTGGATTGATGTGATAGTTTTAAAAAATCTGTTTAATTGGTAAAAATTGAATATTACCAAAATACCCCTAGTTATTAAAGTAATATAAAATGATAATTGTTAATTTTATATTTAATTGTAAAAATGTTTATAAAGAGTAAAAAGTTAAAAATAATGATTAAAATTAATTTTTAAAAAGTAAAAAAATTATAATTTAGTAAAATAAAATTATTTGTTATGGAAGTGAGATTGAATAATTTTAAAGTAAAATGATTTTAGTAAAATGAATTCATCAATTATTTATTTTGTCATATTGAGTATTTTAACTCGGAATTTTCTCTATTTCTTTTTATCTCTTTCTTTTTATCTCTATTTTAACTCGAAATTATCATTATTTATTAAAATTCGTTTTAAAAATGTACAAAAATTATAATTTAGTAAATTGAATTAATCTTTTTGAAGATAATTTTTTTTAATATAATTTCCACTAAATTTTACAATGTTCAACCTCTAAAATAATTAGTCAAAAAATGTTTATTATATTGAAAATTGAAAAGATTAGAAATGAACTTCCATGTGCAGACATTAAAACAAACACTTACATGTATCTTTTGACAAAACCTAATAGAATGAACAAAAGGATTTTTTTTAACTCTGAAATATCAATTAAGGTCTAATGAAGCTATTTACAAAACCAACCCGTATTGGTTTAGGTTGTAAATTCTTAATTTGTATAACTTTTATATGGAAAAATAGAAAAGAGAAAATCATAAATCTTCAAAACGCAATTGGTTTGGATATGGCCTATGAACCTTTCTGGGAAATCCATTTTCCTCCCATTACAACTCTCAAAATCGAAACCAAAAGCCACGTGGGCTTCACGTTGCATATCTCCCTCGGCATTGTCGATATCTTCTGCCACCGGTTGCCGTGAAGCGAGATCAAGTCCCCGCTAGTGCAAAGAAACACTGTCTCATCATCACCACCGTCCCCTAACGTCCTCTTTCACTTCGTCCTAACGCCATGTAGCAGCATCGAATGCCTCTGCCCTCCATTAACACACATCCAAGTTTTGCACTGTTACAGTAGTTGTGCCTTGCTCATGCGCACCTGCTCATACCCACATCGCGTAGAAGAAGCGATTCCTGCTCAAGAGGTCGACCACGAGGTTCCAAGAATAACGAGTGTGGTTGTCGTGGAACCGAATACGAGTGGTTCTGCATAATGGGGAATTGAATAAAACTTAATTGTAACCGAATACAGGCTCTATGTAAATACTTGGCATGCATGGAACCGGATACTGCTGGAATGGAATCGAATACGCCTCCCTCCAATTTCATTTCAAGCACTGTTTTTCATCTTTTTCAGCTTCAAACATGCGTATTCATCTTCAACCACTTTGTTCTTCATGCCATCAACTTCATCTACCATACACAAGGTTGTTTTTGACCTCATCTACAACCCTGCAACTCAACCACAACAACAAAGTTGCCAAAGAGCGATACGGTCTCAAACTCAGCTCAGGAAGATTAGAAATTATATAAT